GAGGTGCAGGAGGTGCAGGGGGCCGGATGGGGAAGGTGGGTGGAGTGGAAACGGCGGCGACTGTTGGAGCGGACGCATGTGGGGAAGCTTCGTGGCTGACTCGCGCGAAGGAACGTGCTGCTCCCGAATATGGACCAGATTGTATCGCCTTTCCTGATAGCTCGACGTTCACAAAGGTGACGTTAGGCTCCCACCCGGCATGTTCACTTTAGCGGTCAAACAAATTGTGCAATTCTCATCATTTGCGTGGCCCCCATGCTTCGAACGCCCGTCTGCAAAGACTTGTGTACATTTGAAAAAGCGCCTTCCTGTCTTGGCACGGAATCCTGTTGTCGCCGGGTGCGATCAAAGGCGGCGTCAGGCTTGCGGAGCCCTGGTGACTCCACTTTCGATTGCGACTCTTTCCTGGGCACCAGGGGCAACCGTTGACGACGGCTGGGAGCCCGCGTTAGGTTGTTGGTGGCTGCGGGAAAGCGGGAAAGCGCCCTGCCTCACCCCAGACGCTGTTTGAGGAATGTTTGGTGTGGAATGGGGGACGTACGGGCGGCAAGTTGGGTCCCGTTCGGGTCTGCTGAGCTGAACATTCGACGGCTCTTGACCAAGACTTTGCTGTGGAAGTTGAGGGACTGGAGATGGTGACGGTTTTTGTAGGTGCATTCGTAAGGAGAGCGGTGGAGAGCGGTTGCTGCGAGGGGACGTGGGGTCTGGCGGGGCAGTGTCGACGAAGGGAGGCTCGGAGAGGAACTGGATCTTGACGAAGAAAGCGAGAGTCCCTGCTCATGCGGAGCGATTTACTCCAAATGTAGGCGAATATAAGCGTGGCAAAAGTGCTTTCCAATTTTGCTGCAGATTTCTTCTAAAGCTTTACAGTACTTCGTAGCACGTGCGCAAGTTGATTCTCTCGTAGACTGCTGTACAGGGGGGGATCGCGCAATAGTGTTACTTGGAGTAGTGCCTCCCCCGATATAGTGCTATAGCTAGAGCTCTGTCACAGGTTATCATACTGGTTACACGTCTACACGTATATTTGTTTCAAAGCAATCAATGATATGTCTTTCTAACGTTCCCAATTTGTAGGAAAAATGCGGCTTCTATATAGTGCCACCCACGCAATAGTGCCACTTGTCGAGGTCTGTTCTGTTCTGGTATGGCACTATGTCGTGGGACCCCCCGGTATCACAAACGCCGTAGCAAGCGGCACCACGAGGGTGACCCCACCGCGGCTCGCCCAAAACTCCAAAACGTTGACAGCTGGCACATTTTAATTGGCTCGACTATCGCTTGGGCAAGCGACGATTTGGGCAAGGGGTCGTCATGGGACTGGACCCCACCGCTGCATTCCCAATCTGTCGCGGGCGGGAACAATGTCGCGCTCAAGAGAGAAAAGCACAACCTGCGACTGTGCTCTGGCGTCCACAGCCAAGTGTCTGGGCAGTCTGGGCACGCTGTGCGTACGGGCTGATGTTGACAGGTTGATGTCAGCCTGATGTCAACATCAGCCTGTCAACTCAGTTCCACCAAAGGGGACGTCCCTTTCGGTACAACTGTCAGCACAATAAAAATCTGTTAAATTTGTAGATTGCTTTTTAGGAACATTTTTGGTTTGGGCGAAAATCTTGCGCAATTTCCGAACTTTGGGAATCGTAGAGGCGCGGTGGGGTATGCCAATCTTGCCCAATGGCCTAAAAGTTGGTGGTTGGAAAATTGGACAAGGTTTTTCGTCCGCGGTGGCGTCACCCCGAGGGTGATCAGGGTGTATAGCGGCACCTCCTCGGCGCCTCCTCGGCGCCTTTCTTGGGTGCAAAGTTTGCACGAATGGCGATGGTGAGCCCAAGCAGGGCCATCTCGACGCCATTAAATGCGATGCCGACCCTGCCGCCCGTAAGGGCGCCGAGCTGGGCGCCGGAACGCGCGTCCGGCAAAGTGAAGGGCGACGGGTAGCGGCCGTCAGGGGAGACGGAGGACATGCCCGACAGCATGTCCTCCCGTCCACCACCCGGCTCAGCCCTTCTTCCTCACGTCGCACCCCCACCAACACCTGCACGGCATGTTCATGACCGGCCAGCACCCGCAAGTGATGATCCCGCCCGCCCCGGGCCCTATGTATGCCCATGCCCCGCAAGACATGGTCATGTTTGTCGGTGCCCAGCACCCGGCCTTCCCTCAGGGCATGGTCATGCCGCCCGCCCACGCCGCCCACATGCAACACCGCCCCCAGGGCCCCGTCCAGCCCGAGACCCAGGCACACAGAAAGCTTCGCATCGAGCACGAGAAGCAGGAACCCATACGCGAGTTTAAGAAGAAGACCAGGGAGGCCGCCTTGGTTCGGTTTTGGCTAAAGCACAGAGGGCGCAGGTTTGGAACACTTATCCGGTACGACTGCCACAAGAAGCTTGCGGATGCACGGCCCCGGGTAAAGGGACGGATCAAGGACGAAGATGATATGGAGCCGCCCCAGGTCGTCCCAGGTATGAATCGGTGATAGAATCTCTCGAGGGTGGTTTTTTTGTCGCTCCTTGGCAAAAACCTCCTGTGTGTATATAGTAGTGCCAGTGTTTTCGCTAACAGTTGTGCATCTCTCTCCCCCCCCTCGTTTGGGAGCATAAAACAAACTATTGACGTGTACATACTAACGACAGCGCCTGACGCTCTTTTTTTGCCCTTGTTGCTATCGTTGAAGCCGGCTGAGACAGGAGAGAGTGACGCACCGTGGCTACTCGGACCCTTCTCCTACTTTTTTTCATTTTAGCGCTGCGGTCGTGCGTTGCTCTTGTTTCATTTTGATACAGAACCGTGCATCTCGCACCATCTCTTCAATGAACGCCTCTCATTCCCATACTCATTCCCATACGTATGCGCCGTACTGTCTCTCTATATGTCAATATCCTGCTAGGGAAAGCGTCGATGGGCAACAGTGAAAAAGCCAAGCTCCTGCGCCCGCAGTACGGCACGAACGGGGCATACCGTGCTGTAAATTCGGCGGACAGGCTGGCAAGCGAAAGCCCCAAGAAACCACTACAGTACCCTGTAATCCCGCCCGAGAGGGGAACAGACGGTGCAGGCAAATATAGCAACGACCGATGCGACTTTTCTGCCGAGAGCTAGAGGGAGGGCCGTGCGTCCTGGCAAAACGTCCCATCTGTGAATGGAACCAGAGCGCCACACACGACGGACCTCGTCTGATGATGTCACGAGTCAAAAGAAGCGACGCACGGTACGCACAAAAATGGACCAGTTTCTGAAACGTCCACAGGTTTTGGCCACCTCACTGTTTGTGTGCACGGATGCATGCAAACAGCACCGCACTACAAAACAAGGTGCCACTCTCTCAAGGAAGACAGAGAGTGAGAAGGGTACCGTACCTCCTGAGGAGGGTACCGTACTTCCGGAGGAGGTGTCTGAGCTCCCTGTTGCCACCGCCATTGCGCAGGAAATCGCTCGCTTCCACAGAAACTTCAAAAGCTGTCGGCCTTCACCACACGAAACGGGATGAATCGATGTCCATCGTGTATCCTACGTATTCATCGTCAACCTGTGCATATGTCCCATGCATTTCTCATGCTCATGAGACAGGGGCGATAGCATCGCCATGACAGTAGCGCGCATCAGGCTGCGTTTCGCCCCCACTGACGTTTCCTGAAGACAAATCACGTATTTCTCCCTTTTGCACGCTGCAGAAGATTCCAGACGACGCGGTCAATAAACCGGAATTCTCAAGACTTTACATGTAAAAAAACCAAACAGGCTATCCCCACCACAGCTGCCACCACGTACCGTACAATAGAAACGTCTGTGTCTGGCCGAGAGGACAAGGGAAGTAGAATATACACACCTAGACCTATACACACCTAGACCTATACACACCTAGACCACTAGCTTCATAATAGCCACCTGGTTTCCGGCCGCTGCAACAAAGACCCCATGATTATCGTCTACCTCCCACCAGGTTACCGTACTCTCCAGCTGCACCAAAACAGCCTCAGAGCCATCCTCTCGCTCATGCACGATTTTCCCCCCGCTCTCAAAAACGTTGCGCCTTTTGCGCCGATGTCCAGTGCGAGAGACGTCCTCTGCATTCAGAAATCTCTCCACGATATCTCGCCAGTCCTTCCACTTTCCGAGATGAACTGAACTCCCTTTCTCCACGTCCCAAACGCGTACGCCCCCGTCAGACGACCTAGATACTGCACGTTTTCCATCACCACTCATCCCAACGCTCGCTACCCCATCCGTGTGTCCAGTTGATGCGTCGCCGATTTGCAGTCCTGTGTCCACGTCCCAAATTCGTACGCTCTTGTCGTACGATCCAGATACTGCACGTTTTCCATCACCACTTATCGCAACGCTATACACCACACCCGTGTGTCCAATTAATGCATCGCCGATTTGCCGTCCTGTGTCCACGTCCCAAACTCGTACGCTCTTGTCCCAGGATCCAGATACTGCACGTTTTCCATCACCACTCATCGCAACGCTCGCTACCGCATCCGTGTGTCCAGTTAATGCGTCACCGATTTGCCGTCCTGTGTCCACGTCCCAAACTCGTACGCTCTTGTCCCAGGATCCAGATACTGCACGTTTTCCATCACCACTCATCGCAACGCTATCCACCCCACCCGTGTGTCCAATTAATGCGTCGCCGATTTGCAGTCCTGTGTCCACGTCCCAACCTCGTACGCTCCCGTCTTCCGATCCAGATACCGCACGTTTTCCATCACCACTCATCGCAACGCTCTCCACCCCATCCGTGTGTCCAGTTGATGCGTCGCCGATTCGCAGTCCTGTGTCCACGTCCCAAACTCGTACGCTCTTGTCGTGCGATCCAGATACTGCACGTTTTCCATCACCACTCATCCCAACGCTCGCTACCGCATCTATGTGTCCAGTTAAAGCGTCGCCGATTTGCCGTCCTGTGTCCACGTCCCAAACTCGTACGCTCTTGTCCCAGGATCCAGATACTGCACGTTTTCCATCACCACTCATCGCAACGCTCGCTACCGCATCCGTGTGTCCAGTTAATGCGTCACCGATTTGCCGTCCTGTGTCCACGTCCCAAACTCGTACGCTCTTGTCGTACGATCCAGATACTGCACGTTTTCCATCACCACTCATCCCAACGCTATACACCGCACCCGTGTGTCCAGTTAATGCGTCACCGATTTGCCGTCCTGTGTCCACGTCCCAAACTCGTACGCTCCCGTCTCTTGATTTAGATACTGCACGTTTTCCATCACCACTCATCGCAACTCTATCCACCGCACCCGTGTGTCCAGTTAATGCGTCGCCGATTCGCAGTCCTGTGTCCACGTCCCAAACTCGTACGCTCATGTCATCCGATCCAGATACTGCACGTTTTCCATCACCACTCATCGCAACGCTACACACCCACGATTCATGACCGCAGACACTCCACAACACTTTCTTTTTCGATACACTCCAGAACTGTAGTGTCCCATCATCATATCCGATAACCGCATAGCGTTTGCTCATACTGACACAACCGCACGTTACTTTCCGGCTCCCCGTTTCAAAGTCGTTGCCTAAGTCAGTCATCTTCATTTCCTTGTCCGGAGACTGTGTGAAAACTGTGATCCTGGTACGGCGCGAATTCGAATAGCGTCCATACACGGCACCCGTTGAGTCCATGCCGACTCCGTGAGCGGTAGTCGGAAGCACAATCAGCTCCACCAAACTTCCTCCCGCTCGCCCTACACATTCACTCACAGGCCGCACCCATGGTCGTGGCGCGTGTTCCTCGATTTCATCGAGTATCCTTTGCACGCTACCTAATTCTGATGCCCTGTGCTTGATTCTTCCGTACAGTTGAAAGTAAATCCCTGCACTGCTTTCACCACAAAAAGGTACACTCAGTCGTGCAGCTCTCATCATCAATCCCATCGCATACATCGAATCTCCTTCTCCTGAATCCCTAAGGCTCTTGCTTCCTCCCGTGAACCTCAAACAGCTATTGAGATCCTTTACAGTTTCCTCGTATTGCCGCACACTTCCTCTCTGTATCACTGCCTTCACCCATCGCGCACTCAATAATAGATTCTTCAGCTCCTTCACACACCCGCCCTGTCTCAGAACGCGATATATATTCTCGAAAACATACTTCTCTCTGGCATCCTTGCTCTCTCTGCCCTCGCTCTCAGTCATACCAAGCAGTCCTCTTCCCTGCCTGCATACACCTGCCAACTTCTTATACCAAACCGTTACACTTTCTTCCTTCCGCGCCTCCTGCACCGCAAAATCGTGCGTCAGATCATGTATCCGTACCCACCCACAATCCTTGTCGTAATGAAGGTCTACTAAACCAACCCTTTCCATCTGAATCGCGTACTTTTCAGCCGATTCGTAGTCCATCTCCCACAAATCTCTTACCAACGACAAAGGCATCCCGTCTTGCTTCTTCATAACACACAGACTCCGATGTATCTTTCGAAACGAAAACTGACCTAACCTCTCCGCATCGCTCCCCATGCCGGACTCCACAATCTTTAGTGCCGCACGTAATGTCGCGTCTAACGACGAATACCCATCCCCTGGACTCTCACTACGAATCGTGGTGCCGCTCTTCATCTTCGAAAGGTATGCCTCCCACGCTTGTGACTTTTCTCCCTTCCATTTATCTCTCATGTACCTGACACCCGTCCCGGCTACGTTCAGAGCCAGCGGCAAACCAGCACACAATTTCAAGATTTTGCTCACAGCCTCTTTGCACCTCGGATCATTCGCTTCCTCCGGGTTCGCCCCGCTCGCGAGCATGAGCATGTGAACTGAATCGCTCCCTTCCCTTTCCCTCGGCTCGAAAGTCACTCGCTTACCGACCCATTTCAGCTTTGAGTCCCTCGTGGAGTACAGAAGTCTGCTCCTCTCTCGGCTGTCTCCTGCTGTGTCAGCGAGAATGGATAACTTCTGCAGAATACACGCATCTATACCATTCACGGCCCACACATCATCAATAATGAACAGGCATACACGTGTGTTGAACCATGCTCGCATCTTGGTCAGTACCCTTCTCAACTCGCTTTGCTCTCGCATTTTCGCAGCCACCTGGTCGCCCCCAGACGCCTCTACGGCTATACACAGTTGCTCAATCAGCCGCCCTACGTCGGCGTCTTTCCCCAAAGACATGAAGTACACTCCGCCTGAAAACCGAGCCTTGATGTCATCGTCGTGCGCAATCGCTCGAAGAGCGCATGTCTTCCCGACTCCTCCCTTCCCCGTTGCCGTCGCTCCTACATGTGAATTGTTATCGGTACTTAGCACGGCCTCCTTTAGCTGCGCCTCACACGCATTCGGTGATCCATCGATCCCCCGAGAATTCAGTTGCAAATATATTTCGTCGGGATTGTGCTCTGCGTGTATACAGGGCGTGAACACATCAAGCGTACATCGTGCGGTGGACGTGACGGCAGCTTGGGTTCCAACTTGGCCACTTGCATTCAAAACTTCTCTCACTTCATCACTTGAATCCTCCTCACATTTCTTCTTCACCCACAGAAATACTCTCTCCACAAGATTTGCCCTTGCAAGATGGCCGAATGCATCTCCGGGCAGGTTTGTTGCCCTTTCGTCATTTTCAATCCCAGTGATACCTGCCAGCTCTTGTAGCTCCCTCTTCACCATATCCGTGCTCGCTTCGCGCTGTCGTTCGTCGCTAAAAAACTTCTCAACTTCAAACATATTCTTTCTTTCATCATCATTTGGATCCAACTCTCTGCATTCACGAATACTTAGTCTGTAAAACACTGGAATCAGTGTCGGTGGTCGCATCCCACTCCCTATCGCCTCACTCCGTCGGCGTAGGAAGCAACGCAGTTCCCTCATCGTCCACTTTCGAGCCGCAAACTCGGGAGAAAGTATGAAAACACCGACCTTCGCAGACTCCATAGCCTTCGTCATTTCATCCCCTCCGCAGTCCCCGGGCTCCATCGAGATTTTGTCGAGGAAGCAATTTAAACCATGAGCTTGCAATTTCTCGAAAAGGGGACGTGCGATGTGTAGCTTATCCGGGCCAGCATGGCTTATGAACACATCGGTAGAGTGCATCTTCCTCCGTTTTCTATATGGTCCCGTCTCTTGCCGGAATCTTTCCTGTATTTTTTTTGTGAATAGCTAATGACAAGTTGGTGAGGTGCGGAGTGTGTTATGCGTGAGAACGGCACCGGCTGTTAGAAAAACAGGGATGCGAAAGTTGAAAGCCGCGTTCAGCGCGCGGCACTCTTGTCGTTGTGGACGAAAGCGGAAACAGTGGCGACGGTCGTGTGGATCAGTAGGATGAGCTGATGTGCTTTCGCTTGATCTTTCGTAAATGAATGTGTTGGTCGGGAACTGGGGGGGGGGGAGGGGGTTTCTGGGTGGTCCCCGTCGCAGCTTTCACCGCAGCCTCCAGAAACTTTTATTTCCCTCGGCGAGCGCTTCCAGAAACGTCCAAGCGTCAACCCTAAAAATCCATAAAATCTAGCACATCAACAATTTGATATATTTTGGCAATTTCTCCACTCACAAAATAGAGAAAAGTCGCAAAGACGCGGGCACAGGCGAACGAGCCAATAATATGCCTAGAAAACGCCCCGCATACAGTTATGGCAGCGTGAGTAGGCAGAGATTCTCAAATCACGGCCGTGGCCCGTATATTTTAATTCAACAGCTGATATTGAAATGAAACAGAGAAATTGCACGTACTGAAAAAATGCCAACAAGGCGAATTTTCAAAAGTAGTACAGAGTCCTCCCCGAAAGACCGCGCAATTGTGTAGTTGTTGCGTCACGTCTGAGAAAAGACCCACCCCCTACAGTCTCAAGACTTTTTCTGCGCAAGCAACAATGAAAGGTCTTTGATTTTTTGATGTTTTTTGATGTTTTTGTTATTATTAGCGTTACACACTCTGGCCAAGCGCCGGCCTCTGCCCTGCGCGGTGGCAATGCAAATCATCAAACCGGGCGCTGTACGAAGGGTATCAGAGGTACTGTACGATCCTTCTCCAAGCCACGTGTAAAGCTCCCCTTTTCCAAAATCAACCAACCACGTAAATTTATTCACTTTTTCACGTCTGGTGGGCCGCCCTTGACAAGTCTGCATCTGACGCCAACAATGTGAAACAATTATGATACGGAGGCGCATCCATTTGTGTTGTTGCTGGATGCGTCAGAACTTGTCTTTCTTTATGGTACTGTAAGGGTTAAGTAGTATATAAGTAGGGCTCGCGCTTCGGACTGTAGGTTCGTTCCGGGCCAGAGGTTTGTGTCAAAACGCAGAGCCTACCTGCGAAAACTGTCCGACTGCACGGACTTCGCACGGGCTCGGACGGTCGGTCGTAGACCTGTCCATTGACACTTTAATAAAATCTCTTTTTCTAATTCTTTTAAGGAATTCCTCACGAAATCCCACATTAATTAATAGCTGATTTCGAGTTCGATTCTTTTTCCCCTCTTCCCATTGGCCATCCGTGAAATCCTTGCGCGAGCGATCTCCAGCCTCCCGTTCCTGCGGCCGACTCCCCACTTGCGTGTGCGCACAACTCGTCGCGTCTCGCCGGTACACGACCCCTCGCCGCCGCCGCTCGCTACTACCGTCGCGCTCTGCTGCTACCGCCGCTGCTCGCACTCCCGCCGTGCTCTGCCGCTCTGTGCTACTGCTGCCGCCCGCTACTGCTGCCGACGACTCCTGCTGCTGCCGCCTGCTACTGCCGCCGCCGCTCCCAGGTGCCGCCGCCGCTCTCCACTGGCGCTGTCGCTCTCTGCTGCCGTTGCCGCTCGCTTGTGCCGCTACCGTTGCCGCCGCTCTCTGCGGCCGCGCGCCGCCGCTCTACACCACCGCCGCTGGTGCTCTGTGCTGCTACTCCTGCTGCGCGCCGCTGCAGCTCGCCGCCGCCGCTCGCCCGTCGCTTCTGCTGCTCTGAGCTGCTACTCCTGCCGCGCACCGCCGCAGCTCGCCGCTGCCGCTCGCCGCCGCCGCTCGCTCGTCGCTGCTGCTGCTCTGTTCTAATACCGCTGCCGCGCGCCGCCGCCGCTCGCCGCCGCCGCTCGTCGCTGCGGCTGCTCTCTGCTGCGGCTGCTCTCTTCTGTTGCCGCCGGCCGTTGTGCTGCTGCAACTACTCTCCACTGTTGCCGCCGCCGCTTGCTGCTGCAACCACACGCTACTATTGCCGCCGCCGCTTGCTGCTGCACACACGCCCGCGCCCTCCGCGTCGGTGCTGTGCCGCGTCGCTCGCTCCACAAACGTTTGGGAGAAGGGAGGGTTGTTTGATTTGGTTGTTGTGTGTTTGTCTGAAGGTCAGTTGGAAGTGGAGGTAGTGGTTTGTTGGCGCTGGAACGTGGAAGAGACCCTTGTTTTGCCTGAGAGCGGTTGACCCGGGATCTTTTTCCTGGTGACGCGAGGCTGGCAACTCGAACCGTGAGGAGATCCTCTCCGGCAGGGAACCCCACCGGTCCTTCGGGGCAGATAACGGTGTCGGCTTTCGGGCCTGGTGTTTCCGGGCGTGGTGATCTTCCGGGGTGTTGTGCGCTGGGTAGACAAGGGTTTCGACTACTGGACTAGCGGTCGCGCAAGTGTCCCGCAAGAGACTAGACACCCCTTAGGCCTGTATACTGGCTGGTGTGGACGTCTCGTAGGGACCATCGCGCCTACTCTCGTAACGCAAGAGTAGGTTGACAGCTGAAGACGTTACCTGACCCGGACAGGCTCCGGGCGTCAGAGGTCGGACCTCTTCTACCTGCAAGAGCTGCAGGCGCCGAGGGTCGGACCCTTACAAGGTCAACCGATCTACGATCGACGCAGTTGTCAAGTTTTTTTTTGTTGCTATTGTTTTTCTTTGGCAACACCACCCGTCACCACTTAACTAAGTGGTAAACAAAATGCCTCCCACTACCCCAGTTGGTGACGAGGCCAGTCTTCCACAAAGCCAACAAGTGGGAGACGATGCACCCGCGCCCCCCGCTTATACATTTATGCGGGGGTTAACAAACGATGCCCTTACAGCTCTAACAAGTGCACAAAAGGGTTTCATATCGTCTATTCGCTTCCTTGAGACTACGCCCGACCTCACCGGTATCCATTTGAAAAGGACTGTAGCTGATATGTTTCCACCAGCTTCGCTGTTCCGCCAGGAAATATGTGACCTTCCTGCGGTGCATATAGAGTTGCGAAACTTTCTTGACGCGAAAGGAGCAAACTTAGCGCAACACTCTTCCCATCGTGTGGTCATGACACTAGCCCACGGTTTGTATGAAGAGACAGAGGACACACAAGCCGCAATTGAAATGGCTCGTGAAATTATTGCTGCAGGACGCCGCCAACGCCCCCATGCTCCCAGCTCTTCCTCCCATGGTGAACAATCACCCGTGCCAAGGACAAGCGGATCCTTCAGTACCCCGACTGAGAAGGTAGCCCATAACGTCGCTATGCGAATGAAGGAGAAAGAGAAGAAATTCTCAGGGGACTTGGGCGAGTCCTGGATGGAGTATGTAGACGACTATCTTCAGATTTCCAGGGACTACAACCTCAGTCCTCCTCAGCGACTCCAGTTTCTTCACAATTTACTGCGAGGGGATGCTAAAAGGTATTATCTTGACAAAATCGATGGATATGCGACCAGCTTTCAGCAAGCTATCCAAATGCTCGAGGAGGAGTACAACTCCCCTGTCCGCCAAACCCGGGTCAAGAACTATCTCAACTCCCTCCGCGTGACTGTTTTCGCTGCAGAAGGGAAGGAAATGTCCGCTGCTCTAGCTTTGACTTACAAGTCAATTATCAAATTCTCCCGTCAAGGTCCGCGCTCCCATCAAGGAGACGCTCACAAGGTTGAATTCCTCCGAAATGCTGTTGTAGGAATGCCATGGTCCAGCGAACCGCTCAGTAGAGTGGCAACGCACCAACTCACATTCCAACAACTCTACTCAGAGCTTGAAGCAGCGCTACAACTGGATAAAGAGTCCAAGATAGCAATCATTCGCGATCGTGCACAACTGAATCAGCGTTCCGTTTCCCATGACAGCTCGGCCGGCATTCTGTACACTGGACAGGGCAGGTATTACAACAATTCTCCCTACCCGCGTGAACGAGACCAGACAAGTACCCGGCAGCCTCGTTTTGGCGGAAGGGCTTTCAGATCACCCTCTACGACTAAGCAGAAGGTAAAGTTCAACCCGCTGACAGTATCGGGTTGCTTCAATTGTGGAGGTAACCACTTGCTCAGGGACTGCACTCTCCCGCTCAACACATCTAGAGCAGCAACCCGTAAGATGGAATACTACGCAAAGAAGGCAGACACAAAGCCAATTGCCGTCCATCATGTCCTCGCCGACTTATGCCAACAACTTGACATTGGCTCTGCGCCGGAAGATGACTCGGAAGAGGAGACAGAAACGACGGACATAACTATATTTGAAAGCATTCTAAGCGGAAATGACACAACGGATGATGTCGACTCCACAGAACATCCCACGGACTCAGGCAGTGATGCTATTAACCACGTCTACCTCACAAGCAAGTCATGGAACGTGACTGTAGGCGACCCCTTTCACGGGATATGCATAGATTCAGCCGCTCAAAAGTCTGTCGTTGGTGTTGAGCAAGCCAGAGCATACTGTAGCTCGTTCAATGTCCCCTACAGTCCTTCAACATCAAATGCTAAGAACGTTTTCAGCTTTGGGACGCACAAACATCTCGGGCTTGGTTTGTTGACAGTGCGGGTCCCAATAGCACCAACACACTTCATTTCTCTCTCGGTTGAAGTTGTAGATACCAATGTTCCCTTTCTCCTTGGACTGGACAACATGGAGAAATACAAGATGGTACTTGACACGGATAAGGGCATGCTATCTTCGAAGCTTGAAGGGTGGCAGATACGCCTTCGGAAGAAACTTGGCCACCTGTACTATGAATGGGGACCGAACATATTATTCACGGAGTCCGAACTTATGAAAGTACACAGACACTTTCATCATCCTGATTCTGAGCGCCTTTACTCCGTAATGAGCCGCGCTGAACCCGATAAGACATCACCGGAAGTACTCCGGACCTTGAAGCGAATCAGCTCTACGTGCGAT